CCTTTTGAACAACTGAGACCAGGCCACTGGCCACAAGCAACAATTCTATTTTCTACCTTAATGGACTACACAAAATTTACGTCCTCACATTGAATGGTAACTTTACTATCACCGTTTTCTGACTAAGGTTTAGTACTACTATGATTATTAAATTTGTATGAATGTGTGTTTTGCCGAGAATCTTATCACCGTGTACTAGACACTGATTCATCTTTTGTACAACTCTTCGAGCAACAATGCTGTCGGTTGCGAGTTAGGATAATTGCTCTATTATCTACAACTTATTTTGTGTAACTAGCAGATAAATATCTTATCCCAAGCGCAAACATCAAAGCCTGCGCGTAGCACTTAAGCGTTTCCCGTTAAGTTATTGCGCGAGAGTAGGGGCGAGAGTAAAAGATCGAAATGAAACTCGAGCCGAAACAATTGCTACGCAGGCCACAAACATCATGTAGTGCAGGACTTTTTTCAGCAACAAGTTGATGTATAAAAAGGTTTTCTTTCAACACGGTTTAGCAGGTTTGCAAAAAAAAGCTGTGCATTCCTTTTTTCGCCAGTTATTGTAAAACCATGAGTATGTGTCCAGCTAGGTGATCGAACCCGCGACCTACAGCTTTGCAGCCTCATCCCCAGCGCAATTCCAGACAGGAGAGAAAGGAGGTGAGGCTTGAAACCGAGTGCGTAAGCGCTCCCGAGAAGCCTGGCTGGTGACGCCAAAATCGGAACTCACCTAGAACGACTTAAAATGATCGAGGCTGACCTCTCTGCAATCCAGCGCTCTTCCGACTACCGCAGCTAATATGACATTCCTACGTGATAACTTAAACTAGGTGTATTACGCGTGTGGCGTTTCGGCATGTGTAATCCAACTGGTGTTTTCCAATGAGAGAATGAAGATTCTCTTTGAGACAGACTCATCCTTAGATTCCTGAAATACCTAGGCAGTTTGCACCAAACTGGGACTAAATTCTGGAGGTCACTTGTCACCAGAGAGCATAAAGAGAGAGTTTCTGGTTAAAGTAAAATTAAGTCTGAATTTTGGTATATTACACCTCGATCACGGCTACACAGGAGAAATTCAAGCAAAAAAAGTTTGTTGATGTTAAGATGTGGCCCTATCTGCCAAATAACCACATGTAACTAGAGTCAGAAATGTCGGCCATATTTACAAACCCTTCAGTTTTTATTCAACAGGTGGCCTGGCAATAAAACTGACGGCACAGAACTATAACACATTCAGATACCAAACCTTTTTTTCACGGATCACACAAGAAAGAAGCCCTTATCATTGTAGTATCATTTTCATTGTTCCTTAGTTCTGAATACCTCTGCATGGTTCTTAAAAATCATGGCTTTTGAAATCAAGTTTGTTGTGAAACCTTAGAAAGATAAAATCGTCGTTGGTTGTGCAGTACATTTCTGCAACAAAATGTCTTAAATCTAGCGTGTCTCCAACCATTTTAAAATCCTTAGAGGTTTCAAATCCGGAATGTTTATTCCTCACTTTCGTCTCGTTGTTTAACACTTCTGTCAGGCATTTCATTACGGATAATGGTTTGTAAAGGATAAACCTAATGAGCTTTCTCTGCAGCAAGATGTAATGTAACCAAAGTCACCCCTAGCGACAATATAAAACCAGAGAAAATGAACTGATATAATGAATGTTAGTTAACGGATAGTTGTAGAGCAAAGACAACTTTTGTCGGGAAGATAGTGTGTCTGTTCTACGATTCTTTAAGTTCATTCCATGTAAATCGAGTTTCCAGAATTTCTTGTCCAGTTTCAGGGGTTGAACTTTGCTATAGAGGATACCAGGATACTATCCAACTCAAGACTTAATGGACTACACAAAATTTACGTCCTCACATTGAATGGTAACTTTACTATCACCGTTTTCTGACTAAGGTTTAGTACTACTATGATTATTAAATTTGTATGAATGTGTGTTTTGCCGAGAATCTTATCCCCGTGTACTAGACACTGATTCATCTTTTGTACAACTCTTCGAGCAACAATGCTGTCGGTTGCGAGTAAGGATAATTGCTCTATTATCTACAACTTATTTTGTGTAACTAGCACATAAATATCTTATCCCAAGCGCAGACATCAAAGCCTGCGCGTAGCACTTAAGCGTTTCCCGTTAAGTTATTGCGCGAGAGTAGGGGCGAGAGTAAAAGATCGAAATGCAACTCGCGACGAAACAATTCCTACGCAGGCCACAAACATCATGTAGTGCAGGACTTTTTTCAGCAACAAGTTGATGTATAAAAAAGGTTTTCTTTCAACACGGTTTAGTAGGTTTGCAGGAAAAATGCTGTGCATTCATTTGTCGCCAGTTATTGTAAAACCATGAGTATCTGTCCAGCTAGGTGATCGAACCCGCGACCTACAGCTTTGCAGCCTCATCCCCAGAGCAATTCCAGACAGGAGAGAAAGGAGGTGAGGCTTGAAACCGAGTGCGTAAGCGCTCCCGAGAAGCCTGGCTGGTGACGCCAAAATCGGAACTCACCTAGAACGACTTAAAATGATCGAGGCTGACCTCTCTGCAATCCAGCGCTCTTCCGACTACCGCAGTTAATATGACATTCCTACATGATAGCTTAAGCTAGGTGCATTACGCGTGTGGCGTTTCGGCATGTGTAATCCAACTGGTGTTTTTCAATGAGAGAATGAAGATTCTCTTTGAGATAGACTCATCTTGAGATTCCTAAGATACCTAGGCAGTTTGCACCAAACTGGGACTAAATTCTGGAGATCGCTTGTCACCAGAGAGCATAAAGAGAGAGTTTCTGGTTAAAGAAAAATTAAGTCTGAATTTTGGTATATTACACCTGGATCACGGCTACACAGGAGAAATTCAAGCAAAAAAAGTTTGTTGATGTTAAGATGTGGCCCTATCTGCCAAATAACCACATGTAACTAGAGTCAGAAACGTCGGCCATAATTACAAACCCTTCAGTTTTTGTTCAACAGGTGGCCTGGCAATAAAACTGACGGCACAGAACTATAACACATTCAGATACCAAACCTTTTTTTCACGGATCACACAAGAAAGAAGCCCTTATCATTGTAGTATCATTTTCTTTGTTCCTTAGTTCTAAATACCTCTGCATGGTTCTTAAAAATCATGGCTTTTGAAATCAAGTTCGTTGTGAAACCTTAGAAAGATAAAATCGTCGTTGGTTGTGCGGTACATTTCTGCAACAAAATGTCTTAAATCTAGCGTGTCTCCAACCATTTTAAAATCCTTAGAGGTTTCAAATCCGGAATGTTTATTCCTCACTTTCGTCTTGTTGTTTAACACTGCTGTCAGGCATTTCCTTACGGATAATGGTTTGTAAAGGGATAAACCTAATGAGCTTTCTCTGCAGCAAGACGTAATGTAACCAAAGTCACCCCTAGCGACAATATAAAACCAGAGAAAATGAACTGATATAATGAATGTTAGTTAACGGATAGTTGTAGAGCAAAGACAACTTTTATCGGGAAGATAGTGTGTCTGTTCTACGATTCTTTAAGTTCATTCCATGTAAATCGAGTTTCCAGAATTTCTTGTCCAGTTTCAGGGGTTGAACTTTGCTATAGAGGATACCAGGATACTATCCAACTCAAGCCTGCTGTAACAAACATCCCAATGACTCCTAAAACCACAATGCAAACCGCTACAAATCCCATAGGAACGGNTTGTTCCTTAGTTCTAAATACCTCTGCATGGTTCTTAAAAATCATGGCTTTTGAAATCAAGTTCGTTGTGAAACCTTAGAAAGATAAAATCGTCGTTGGTTGTGCGGTACATTTCTGCAACAAAATGTCTTAAATCTAGCGTGTCTCCAACCATTTTAAAATCCTTAGAGGTTTCAAATCCGGAATGTTTATTCCTCACTTTCGTCTTGTTGTTTAACACTGCTGTCAGGCATTTCCTTACGGATAATGGTTTGTAAAGGGATAAACCTAATGAGCTTTCTCTGCAGCAAGACGTAATGTAACCAAAGTCACCCCTAGCGACAATATAAAACCAGAGAAAATGAACTGATATAATGAATGTTAGTTAACGGATAGTTGTAGAGCAAAGACAACTTTTATCGGGAAGATAGTGTGTCTGTTCTACGATTCTTTAAGTTCATTCCATGTAAATCGAGTTTCCAGAATTTCTTGTCCAGTTTCAGGGGTTGAACTTTGCTATAGAGGATACCAGGATACTATCCAACTCAAGCCTGCTGTAACAAACATCCCAATGACTCCTAAAACCACAATGCAAACCGCTACAAATCCCATAGGAACGGCTTGGCCTTTTGTAAATATCCAAGCTAGTAGTTTGTCCAGTTCAACTCCTGATCAGGCTGCGTACCGCGCTATTTCGTTTCTCTTCGATGGCTCCAGTCAGGCTCTTCTTTCTAATTTAAGATAACTACTGTCATGGGTGGCTGGAAAATTAAGCTAACGGTTCGTTTCGTACAACAAGTGGAGTAATTTGGAAACTCTCAAGCCGCTGCGGTATATGTCGCATTATAAATATAAAAACTGATTATTTTATTTCACGCTAATGAATATTGATAGCAAGCAAGTGTACTGTTTCTGTTGTAATTCTTGAAAGTCTGTAGCAGGTTGCATGATTTTAATCCGCATCTAGTACATTTGATAAGGGAGTGGCATAATTTAAATATTTATATTCCATTTGCCTGCGCCAATCGTAGCCCGTACAGGGTTGCAACAAGTGGTTTTCAAAGTGTTGAATGTAAGCTGCTTTTTTACTTAGCAGGTACCTGTTTTCACGATAAGAACCATTTTCACTGTTGCTACCAAAAATGCATTCAAAAGTAAATTTCTTTTAATATACATTAACTAGATCGGCGCAGCCGATCCGCCGAGAGAAATTATTCGTTTATACCAATGGCCTTAAGCTGTACGCTCAGACTTCAAGTGAATCAGTCGACCAATCCCCTCCCTTGCCCCACCATAATCACTTTGTAGAGCTAAAAACAGAACCACCGTAAACCGTCGCTTCCGGTTTTTTTGTTTTGTTTTAGGTCATAGACTACGAGCAGTCTCTCGTTTTCCGGTCGAATCATCGTAAGGCCCACAAACACAAAAGCACCCAGGAAAAACTCAAGCTTCAAGACTGATGTTACTTTTACTCTCTTTTCTCCGCAAAAGAAAATGTACCTTCAGCTTTGAAAAGAGACTTATCTTGAGACTTCCGCTATTAACAATCCTTTTCTTTTCTCGAAATAAATGAACATCTAAAAATAGAGCGAAAGCAAATTAGACAACATTTGCCCTTTCATAAACTGCTATTATACAGCTGACAGTAAGGACACTGATACTTTTGTCACCCATTCTGTTACCTACCTGCAGTTAAATGATAATAATGAGCATCATGATAGAGATTCCAAATAAACGCCCATTGAAACAAGCCGATATGTCTCGGGGTTGGCAAGCAAATGCACGCGAATAAATCATTTTCAGCTTCAGTTTTGGCTCAATTTACAAGTAGCCGGCCGTAATAAGCGCAAAATGCTTTATTCACACGTAACTGAAAAGAGTTAGGCAGCCGCCCGGTTAGCTCAATTGGTTAAGCGCCGTATGCCTTGCGGGAGGTCGCTGGTTCAAACCCCGGCCGGACCAACACTCAGGGTCTTAAAATAACTGAGGAGAATGTGCTGCCTTTGTTGTGACATCTACAAATGGTTAGAAATTCTAGTCTTCTCAGATAAGGACGAAAAAGCATAGGCTCCGTCTCACAGCTCTTTCACTGTTCTGATTCTTGTGGGACACGAAAAAGAACCCACGCTGCTGTTCGAAAAGAGAAGGGGGCGTAGACCCCGGTGGTGTGGTACACCTTTTCATGGGCTGGGTGGGTAATGTAGTAGGCTCGATTTCCGCCGTCTCCCGGCGGCTGGTAATCGAGCCTAGTAATGTAGGGGTTGATATCAAATCAGACCTCCGTCCTGTTCCATCCCCTGTCACCGTGTTGAGACACCGTTACGAATTCAATAAAGAACACAGGAAATGGAGTTAAATGAAAGAATGTAGGGGCCTTGTGAATTGCCATGTTTCAAGATTTGCTTTTAGTGAAAAATAATTTATGGATTTCAGTATTCACTTATTCTATCAACCCTCTTGTAAAAAAGTAAAAATAAAGCAGAGATTCCCTGAGGTGAAGCCAAATGTTATCAAGTTACGATGTAGTGGTTATGGACAGTTTAATTTATTTAGAAATTAAATCAAAGGACTAATAACGTCGTTTCTTTTAGTCACGTGTTCTAATGGGACGAGAATGACCAGAGCTGTGTTATCAGCAGCGGCAGAGTAGGCCCGCTTTCGCTCTTACTTGGGCTTATATCACGCTGTCCATGGCTGCCTCTACCCGAGTGTTTTGGCTGTGCGCAGGCCCAAGGGACTGACCACACAGCAGAGTTTTGTTGGGTGACCATTGCTTTCAAGTGGATGGAAAGGACTAAGCCTGGTACACTGCGATCTTTCTTTATGGCAAAAAGAATTAAGACGAAATCCACCAGCAAATTGAGAGATGCAATTTTCTGAAATTTGACATTCATTTTCTCGGACTCCCTACGCTTTAAAAGAAACCACAATAAAGTCTTCTGATTAATGTAGAAATCCGGAACTTTTGACATTTTTTTCTTACGTCATAAGAAATTTAATAAGACCATGTTCCAAAAGGAGGTGACTCTTTATTTTAATTTCAGTTTCCTGGAGGATTCCGTCTTAACAATGGTATTCAAAGAAAGCTGGGATCGATAGGTCCTTTGCAGCTTGCCAACCCCGTGGTACAAAACCGCCATACTGGAGAGCAAAAGTCACACTGGGACAAGACAAACAAAGGAAATTACCATTTAAAATTATGTATGTCTTTGATCTTTGATTTGTCTTGTCCCAGTGCTCTCCAGCATGGTGGTTTTGTACCACATGAATGGCTGGTTACAAAGGGCCTATCATCGTTTTAGGATAGGGCAAATAGGTAGCACACTCAAATACGCGACCTGTTACCGTTTTGGGGCGCCCCTTCTTACAAATGTTCGAAAAGAAAAGAAAAGAAGAGAAAATGGCCATTTTGATTTGAAGTCGTCGTTTATTAAGGAATCTAAATCGTTATTTACATACAAAAACAGTCAAGATCAGCTGTACATCTCTAATTTCTGCTTAAGTCAAATCTCCAATCTAAACGATTGTGGATTATTGCTATGAAAAAATAAATAAATAAAATAAAATGAAAAAATTTGTCCTATTTGGGCAATAAATAACTTTCTTGTCTTAAACAAAACGTCTCAAATAAATAAAATTCCTTACATAAAAGAAAAACTATTTTTCTCTAATATAACTTCATTTTAATTATTCTCTCGGCATATTTCTTCGCTTAAACTCAGGGATAATGAACAAAGCTGAGTTAGTTGTTTGTTCTGGTTTAACCAGCTCACACAATCCCTTGAGCTTATTTAATTTTAATTCTCGAAGTTGCTTTGAGGAACGATGGCCGACGATAATTTATTTATAATTAGCACGAATTAGTTTCTTAACATTGAAAGAACGATGAACTATTCGCTCAAGAGAAAAAAGATCATCAAAATAGAGGAAAACCGCTGCCACATTGTCCAAAGACACATGACCTCACTTAAGTCACGTGGTTCCTTTAGTTGACCTCGACATCTGGTATAATCTGCATATCTTCTTTGGCGAATCGCAGGCCTTTTCTCGAGCCCAGTCTGATGGGTGTTTTTCTGAGGCTCTGAGTCAGCGGTCGTGGTTTGTAGTACAAAGGTGACGGGTCACCAATTGAGCCGTCGGTATCGGATTTCTCAAGGTGTGATGCTGAAGTGATTCTGACCAGCGGCAATGGCATTGAAAGTTGAGCACCTGGAAATGTTAAAAAAGAAATCAACTTTACTTTATAACTAGGTGCAGTATGTTTATACACGCCATCAAAATAAGGCCTCGGTACAAGCAAACAATAAATACATTATAACTTATGAGAAACTGATTATATGAGAACAACTCTTTATGGCTTTCTGATAAAAAGGAGAATAGCGATTTTAACAATAACTGTGCGATTATCGTTTAGTTCTTACAGTTGTCAAGGAAACTACGATTCTCCTTTAATAGGCCACTTCCGAGTTCCAAAAACCTTCACTTTCAAAATGAGGCCAAGTGCAAAACCTTTCTTGTGAAAATGAGTTTTATTTGCATGAGAATGAAAAATCATTTCTATATCAAAAGCTGAGCACTTAACCTCGTTCTGATACAGAGGCCCGGGGGAACTCGGAAATGCGCTATTGTCAATCACTCGGCCGCGGTCAATGTCAACCACAGCAGTGGATTAATTTACCCCTTAAATAAGCCTGTTTTGATTTAATATTGTAAAATCAGTGGATAAAATAAAGAAAACCTGCAGTTTTACCTTCTGGGGAATTTGTGAAGTCTTTAAGAGATTTTGACGTCAGTAGAGAGGTTCCGGCTTCCTTGTGGCCATTTTTCCCTGCCGTGGTCCTTGGCCGTGGTGCAAACTCAATGTTACTTAAAATGCTATAGTCACTAATGCAAGAAATAGCATCCAGTGGAACTGGTTTCGTCCCTGCAGACTTGGGTGGCTGCTTGCTTGATAACAGTCGCTTAGAGCTCCGTGAGCGTTGGGGTAGTAGCTTGCGTTCTTGAGAGGTTTGTTGTGTAGTTTCAGGTGACAGTAGCGGAATAACTTGAATCTCCGGGCTTTTTCTTTCCGCTTGCTTCACGTCTTTTGAGTCTTTAGGGGAAAGATCCTTATCATCACATTTCTCGGTAATCTTTTCTTCTTTCACAGAGGTAACCGTGCTAACTTTTTCATCTTTGCGAGAAAGCGCCAATGACACTCCCGAGTTCCGACGAGTGACCGACACAGAGGTAGAAACTACAGAACTGCGCCTGCCCAACGAGGTAAACAGCTGACCATTAGCGTTGGGTTTTAGAAGCTTTGCTTGGAGTCTCCTTGAAGAACCTAAGAAAATACAAGACGTGGGAAGTGACGTTAAGACACTAGTTTGAACATAAAAATTTAGAGAATCACTAGGAAGAGTGCTAAAGAACGCGATACCCTAAGAGCGCTAAAGAACGCGACACCCTTGCAAGTTAAAAATGTGAGTTACAGAACGAAACGTGAGCTGTGCAGCGGGTTTCTTAATGTACTGGTGAACTGGTCAGAGACATATCCTTTTAAAAGTAAAACATTTAGTTGACTCCCGATAACTCGAACCCTCGATAACTCGAATCACCCGCTAACTCAAAGTACGGTAATTTTTGCTTCCCTTCAGATTATTTCAATATAATTTACCCTCGGTAAAAAAAAAACAGTGTACTGCAGTCCGAAACATTAAATTTATTTCAAAACAGCCGTGTATTCTTTGCCTTTTTGTTATTTGTCCAGCCCTGTATACTGATCAAGCTTTGTTGCTTAATTCCTACTTTTTCTCCGTTTTCTAAATATTGCCTATATATCTCTTGCTGCCTTGAATTGAAGGGTGCATGATACTTGCACTCCCTCCCCATCCATTTGCTTATTTCTTATTTCCGGTTATTTGCTTTGCACTCCCGATGACTCGAACTTTTTTCGATTTCCTTAGAAGGTTCGAGTTATCGGGAGGCGATTGTATTTACAGGCCTCTAACAGTCGTACCTTCACTACTTTTCTTGTCACTTAGAGCCTCATGAACTGAAATAAATAAGAAAGTAGAGGAAGTCAACTATGAATCAATGAGGGTTGTACGCCCGATGTTTGACGGATAAGTTATCGAATCTCCTAAATTGTTCTCTTGCCTGTACGTAATACGTTTTAAAAAGGACAATTTCATACCTTTCTTGCCAAGTATGGAGGATTTCGCCATAGACACACGTGATCTCCTGCTCTTTGTTTCTTCTACCGAAGAGACCAAAAGAAAAGATGTCACTTTCTTGAAACACGAGATGGAATTATTTCTCATTTTAATTCAACAACTGGCATACAATAGCTTATCCTGTACCAGCTCTGTTCTTCTGTCATTTGTGCGCCTTTGCCTTTTTTTCCTTTTTTGGTTTTGCCTCTTTCCTATATCCCCAATTACTGCGTCACTGCTTAAAAGCAGTTAGCATGCGAGCAAGCTCTCCGTATTTGGAAGGATAGTCGTCACGCGAAAGGAGACGCCGCTCGCTCGTGCGTTCGCCACAATTGGAGAGATTCCGCATGCTCGCAGGCTAAAAAACAGTGACTGAGATTAACTAATATTAAGTTTTTTAACACAAAGCCACAACATGGTAGGCTCACCTTTCTCCTCTACAAGTTCTTCTTCCGGGATGATAATTCCTTGCTCTCTGAGTCTCTTGATGTGTTCTTGGCGTTCTTGTTCAACCAAATGCTTGGAGTAAAACCATGATCTTAGGTCATCCTCTTCGGAGTAGAAAATGGAAGCGGTTTCCATACTGAACAAACTATAAATGATGATGATAAGGATGAGCCTCATTTAAGTGTCAAGAAATCTTCAAGCTGGCCTGTTTAAAGCCTGCTAATAGGGGACACTATTTAAAATACTACCAACTTAACTACTTATAGCATGTTTTTCTAAATTTTATACTATTAGTAATTCTATAAAATGACTAATAGTATAAAATTTAGAAAAACGTACTTCCTAAAATATTAATTAAAAGTTTTGGAACAAATAAATATGATGCTTTGAACAAAATAAAAATAAATTGTCTATCCTGTCCGAGCCATTTCTTGCTCGACTTAGTAAATCATATTATTAGAGGATGGCTTGCCAGGACTCTCTTTTCCATTGGGCACTGAGTAAGCTTCAAAAGCTACGTACGTTTGCTCTAAGTGAGAGGTAAGTGCTAATGTTGGCTTAGGGGAGGGGTAGGTGGGCAGTTTTCCAGAAACGTATATTGATCCAGCGGTAATTGTCCCGGACTACCGCAAGGGACCTTTTGGGAGCCCTGGTTTTATTAGGGTCTTTTAGCTTGTTATAACATAACGACGAGCGAAGCGGCAGTGAATGTGTCTGCCACTATGCCTCTATTATATCAAGGACCTTGAACTTGCCATCCTTGTTTATTCATCTCTTTTGTTGTTTTGATGCAGTGCTGAAAGAACTGATGTATTGGCCGCTTGAGATACGCGTGAGATTGAATTGGTATCCTGTCGAATTGGGCGGTGGGAATTTTAAAAAATGGATTTTGACCCAGAATCCTGCGCAAACCCCTAGTACCCGATAAAAAAAGCAATAGCGTCTCCAAAACAGTCCCATGATGCATTTCCGCACAACCCCGACCCAGTCTTACTCACAACCTTATCATGACCTATTTGCCCACCTGGCAAGATCTTCAATTCGTTTCTTTTCTCTTTCTTCCTTCTCTTTCTTTTTTCTCTCTGCACTGAGACGCGCCAGCCTCCTTCGTTCACTGGCCTCTTTCTTGGACTTTGTATCTGCTCTGTGCCTGCTCAGCAGCTCTTTGAAATGTTCTCGAGGATGTACGCCTTCGGGGATTTTGCTCCGCTGGGTCACAAACTCCTTCCAGTGGTTAAACAAAACTCGAAATACTGTCATCTGAAAAACGAAAAGAACAATACATTTGTGCGATCGCGAAGAAGTCTGTATTTCTAAAGTTTCCTTTCTGTGGGAAAATTTGAGACCTGTGTGAACGATATTAGCAGATGTCAAACCATATGCGCGCACATTTTCATTTGAACAAGGCAAAAATGAGTGAATTCGAAAAATTCAATGAGCTTCCTTAAAAACCAGGTAGAACATGCATACACATTGCAAGTGAACTAACACCACCAAAGACTGGACCAACGTTCTCGGTTCTTGACAACTTTTTTTTTTTTCCCGCGCTTGGAACCCGTGACATGTTTTCACGCCTTTGGTGCAGATTACAAGTTTTCCCGCCATTAGCAGCCGTTCCCTGTTCTCTTGGCACTGGTTACAAGCACCTCGGGGTGTCACTGTTTCCATCCAAGTTTTTTCATTGAATTGCTTGTCTGCATTGCTTAAAAGAAATCTTTACCGTCCTCTTGTTTTTAATAGGGACCTTAAGATCCGAGGACGGCGATGGCAGCGAAAAGGTCGCTGAAAAAGGTGAATTCGCTTTCTTTCAATCTTCATCGCGATTACTCCAAGTCACTAACTTTGTCAAATGAAGGTGAACCCTCCTAAAGTTGAATTCCTAAGAACCATATCCAAGTTCAGAAAGAGAGAAGAAATTTCGTCGTTGCTTGTGTACTTCCTCTGTAAAACGTGAAATTAGGCATTTCAGCACGTCGTAGTCGTGCAGCGTCGGCAAAGAAATGTCGAAAAAGCGTGATGCACGTGCAAAATTGTTTTGGTTATTAAACCTATTGCTTTTTTGACGTTCTCGTTGCCGTCGCCGTCATCGGATCTCAAGGTCCCTAATGCCGACTCCTTACCTGTGCTTCTCTGAAGACATAAGGATGCAGAGAAGGATTCCTCCCGGACAGCCTTTCCATAAGCTTATCGGCCATCTCAATAGGTATATCGATCTGTAACTCAGGTGCAATCGCCGAGTTCAGGAAACAATCTATAATGGTTTGTACTTTACGTTGGATCAGAGCTGGCAGGGCATGTGCGTGGCACAAATCCTGTAATGTTCATATACCACAGTCAGAACAAATAAACAACAACATAGCCTTGTAACACAAGCTAACACGACCAGCCCACCAAGGGCAGGAGAACAGTTAGAACATACGAGAGTATTAGATTGTAGTTTACGAGTTTCACAGCTGGAAAGGACGAAACTTAAATGCTTATGTGTGTACACTAAATGAGACGCAAGTGAAACACAAACCTTTCATGAGACAAAATAAGAAGCACTTTATATAGGTTACAAGCTAAGTGTACAAATGGAATGTTGGAACAAGTCAAAGCTAATCTTAGAGATTAAAAATATCGCATAAAATAAGTAATTTCGCATCTTGGCTTCTATTTTTTTAAACTGTTAAAGAGCTGTACTAACTGAGCTGGAAGTCATACGATACAACTCGTGACATTTCCACTCGTGTTGTCACTAACGAACCTCGAAATAAGCTGTCAAAAAGAAACTGAATATTCAATCTACTAGCTTGATAAAAGGGAGTTTAAGCAGCGACGTTTTTGAGCGACGCAGGTCAACCGGAAGTACATTTTTTGCACTCTTGAGCCGTGATTTTGAATAAATGTTTGGTCAAATCGTCTCTATAAGCGTAAAAACACTTAGCCATAAAAATTGGGTAGCGTCAAGGCATATAAAAAGAGAAAAAGGCTCACTTCCGGGTTACGTGCGTCACTCAAAAACGTCTCTGCTTTAACTCCCTTAAGCCACTAAGAAACGGTGGAACGTTTCGTCACATGTCACGCGACCTGAATTGAAAGTTCAGTTAATTATACAAAACACGTGCATATATCTTACCTTGAATTTCTGCACTTCAAGCCAGAACTGAACATTACTTTCCAGTGTGTCTCCTTTAACTGCGACAAACGCACTAAACTCGCTACAGCTGCTGGGATTTAAAAGGGTCTGACGTAATGCCACCACGTCACGTGACGATGAGACCCATCTGCTATTAAGAATCTACGTCAGACAAAAATAAAAATGAAAAACTAAGCGTTATAAAAAATTACGCAACAGCCAAATATAAAACAAATGCTCTGATTGGCTAATGGTACCATGTGTAGCTGGAAATTGGCCATGTTGAAGAAATTGTCTGACCCACCCTGTTGATTACAATCTTCACAAACTCTACATAGTTTTCCTCAGCGTTCCAAATGACAAAAAAAAGCGCCTACGTTCGCAAAAAAAGTTATATTTACCTTCCAAGCAGCCTCGCTCCGCTGAAGTCTTCTCTTGAGCATTATATCCTCCACCATTTCTGGAACCGTGGCAACTTTGGGTTTCTGTCTCTCGAGGAATTCTACGGTCTGTTTGAACAGCATTAACCAACGCCGCTCGATGCGTGCGCGTACAAACTTCTGGCTTTCGAGGATAACAGGTGACGCGGGTCGCTCTTTAATCGGTCGGCCGCCATTAAGGTCCATAATCTACGGAACAGAGGGGAAAAGGGCTCAACCTAAAAAGCTTGGGCTGGAAGAAAATCTATTTTTTTATTCTTGAGTTATTCGTTTTATTTTCTCACTCCGCGTGACCGATTACTTACCAAGTTTCGTCCTTCTCTAGTCGCCGGGCTGTCGGGACCAAAAAAGTACTTTTTGCCGAGCCAATTTTCTCGGATTTCCCTAGCTTTCTTGTCACGTTTTTCTTCCATAAAGCGAGGAACGCGGCGAAATGTTTCCATGTCTGTCCACGCCATAAGATCTTTGAGGCCTGCAAGCATGTAAGGGAAATGAATATCAGAAATTGGACTGGAAGGACAGAATCGAACTGAGAATTCAACTTACCGTCAAGTTATACGAATTACAAGATTTTACCGCTCTAACATGATACGTTCCTGGCAAGCCCACATTGCCCATACGAAACACATCTGACCACATAGTACGGCCACGGAAATAAAAAAAACCTCTATATGTTTAAAACACTGCACGTGCAGCCGCAGTTTTCCTTCTCGCAAGCAATGGAGATACTGATCTTCTCGAAAAATAAGCAGGTTTTTCTTAGTTTTGATTCACGAACTGGTTCGGACATTTCACGATTTCCTTTTTTAATTGACAGATACAACATAAATTGAAGACTTGGCCATGGAAAGGAAATGACATGTGTTCCATGAAGAGCGGCTTCCGCGTTTTGCGAATCGGTGGATGCAGTTTATTCTTAATTTCAACCCGTTCAAGCCAGTTTTCCGTGTCCATCTGCAGTGCTAAGCAGTCATAATTTACAACATGAGTCCACCTCTGGACTCGAACAAGACACAGAAGGACACTACAACTACTCAAAGAAGTTCAAACAACCAAAAAAGTGCAGACTGGACCAGGGAAGAAACAGAAGAGCTCTTGCAAGTGTAGGGACCAAAGAAAGAACAATAAAAGCGCTCATCGGCTAAAAAGAGAGCAAGAATCTGGAGTGAAATTTACAACAAGTATAAAAAGCGGTTTTTAATAAAAGCGTTAGATTTCTTACCTCAAGAAAACAGCCTACAAAATCTGAAATACGATTTTAAACCCTTGAAGCAACGAACACAAAAGACTGTCGAGCAGGGCTTTATGATGAGCAAAGAAGTTTCCCGTACTTCGAATACTTCATCTCTTACCAAAAACCTAAGTGCACTTCAAGTGCTTTTCAAGTACACTTGAACTCAAGTGCCGTTAGGGGTCTAGTGTGTATGGCTTTTGAGATAGAGAATACTAATATTCACAAACGTACTTTTGCAGGAGCGAATCCAATTTTAGACCGAGAAGAAAACTTCGTCGTGGTTTATTTACGACAGTGTAAATGCACCTTACGTAGGAAAAGAAACAAAGAACAGAAAACAATTAAGACAACTGTTACCTCTGGCATGCTTTTTGTTTAGGAACTCTTTAAAATGTTCAACTTCTTCCCTGTTCCTTATAAGTGATTCAAATGTGACGCCGTCTTTCGGTACCGGAAGTGGTCTGTTGGCTTCCTCCACTGATATCCGCTCCTTTTCGTGGTCTTCTTCAGCATTACCCAGCTGAAAGAGAGAAAACAATGCGTCTGCTTGAGGGTACACTACTTGATTAACTAAAAAGGCTACTAACAGTTCCTAGCAAAAAGTTTAAAAGACAGTCACAACCAACAAAAATTAAATAATCTTCTTTAAAGACTGATTGGTATAGCTGGTGTACTGAAACTGTCACGTCGCTAAAAAAGACATATTTCCGTTCTTTCAACTTTACTGAATGAATGAATGAGTGAGTAAACTTAATTTATACTACTACATGAGAAATTTCTGCAATTTGATTGGCTTAGAGCAGTGGTATTCCAGCTTAATTTGAAATACCTACATGTGAAAATTTCAAACCTTTTGCAGGTAGTAGTATAAACAAATAATAGCATGATTTGTACGTGATATTTGCCATAAATACCACTCGTGATATTTCAAAATTGTCTCAAATTTCACTCGCCTAACGGCTCGTGAAATTACGTCTAACAATTTTGAAATATCACTCATGGTATTTATGCCAAATATGACTACAAACCATGCTATTACCTATACTAACTAGTCAGTCAAATATCTACCATAAGAGGGGACACTTACCTTAGCAGTAAAAAATGTAGCATAAAAAGAACTGCGTATATGTTATTGTAGACCCACTCGATTGGTCAAATGCTGGAGATTTTTCCTGTAGTTGAATTCTTTTAAGAGTTAAAGGGAATTTATCCAGGTTCAAAAGGAGAAAGGAGAATTCATCGTTGTGTGCTCACGTCCTCCATAAAAAATCGCATTAGGAAGTTCCTCGTCTTAGCCAAAGAAATGTAATAAAAAGCGTACGTGATGCAAATGCAGAGCCCTTGTTTGCTCATAATACCAATTGCTTTGTCACGTCGTCGTTGTCTATGCCTAGTGCTTTTTGAAGTGCCATTTGTGTGTTTCTTACAATACAAATACCTCCATCGCACGTCGCACGTTTGAAAACCATTTTCTTTAGCGAGGTACCCTAACCAAGGATGATTAGTTTCTTCATTCTCAAGACCATAACCAAGTATCAAAATGGGAAAATTGATTCTGATCACAAAAATTAATTTCTTACCCCTCCATTAGTATGGACGATGCTTTGCCTTCGTCGTGCGGTCACTTGGATTTCTATATGCCTCAGTCTCTGTTCTGTACGAACCTGAGGTGATAAAACAGTTAACTCAGAAGACTGTTAAGATTCAAAGGACTCACAAGCTGAGGGGTACCCTGGTAAACCACTCACCCGAACTTGACTCACCCCTGAATTGTGCTATATTCCCACTCAAACTACTCGCGGGGGAAAGATAACGCGAAGCTGACTTACTTAAGAAATCCACGCGATTACAGAGCTTCACCGGACCAGTTATTCAAAATGTGAATAACGCTTTCCACTGAATAAATAGCCTGTTCCAGGCTCTCAGATAGTAGGGAAAACGCGTAAGTGAAAGGCATGCCAAAATATATGAGCGCATGATCTGGGAAAAGGAGGTGGCGGCGGGTAAAAGGAACCGTTCTATTTTCGTGTTCGCGTTTTCTCAATTTCGTGGACCCGACGATCTCGGAGCCTGGAACAGGCTCCTGAAAAAATCTCACTCCTCTGGATAGTGATTAACCCGCCGCTGGATCGCGCTAACCAATATTGGAGCAACTGGGGCCAGAACAATAACTCTTAAAGAGACTATATCAGAGTAATTTAGCCTAGATTTAATTTAGTTTAGTGTTTGTAATCCACGTCATTCACGGGTGGGGAGGGGGTACTTTCCATACACAAGCCGGCTTAAAAGGAAGCAATCATGAAGAGTTTTACCAGTCGATTCTTTTTGGCATAAAAAGTGGAAATTTTTCAGAATGTATTACTTTTTTACCGTGTTTACAAACACAGTTGCTCGCCAAAATGCAGATGTTTGGGCTTTTTGCGCATAGTAGTAAACTCAGTTATTCTCACCTCATCTTTGTATTGATTTTTCTCCTGTGCAATGAGCATATTCCATGGTTCCAACAAAGACTGAAGTACGTGCTCCTCCACTGCATCAAAGAGTTCCTCAAACGGCGGCTCTAGCTCTTTAAGCACCTGCGTCTGAATGTCACGACATACGTGAACATCTTGCGCACTGCCCGACACCACGAAATTAGCATACATAGTCTGTAACATACAAACAAAAACCGTAATTTAGGGATCTAGTCTGGTAATCTGCCAGGTCGACGCTATGATGAATGCTGAGGTATTGTCGACCTTTTCCATTTTTTGGCCACGCATAACGTGCGAGACAAAAGCGGTGAGATTGTGACACGCGACAAGCGACAGCGTCCGCCTCCAGTTGCGCGTGTGACCATTTTCTTCTCCCATAAATTCGAATGACGGACTATAAAAAAGAGACGTTGTATAATCTACCCGGGGAGACCAAAGCATGTTTTTGAATAGGTTCTATTTGAAAAGCGTCGCCAATTAGTTGCGTATACTGTCAAAGGAAAACAGTTTTGTGTAACTAGGCCCAGAAAACGAAGGTGAACATACCCTTGCTTTTCTTGAAAGCAGAGAAGGATTTAGCGCATCAGCAAAAAAATATGCATTGTACTCTTGAAGTGATTTCCAGAATGCAAGGCAGTTTCTCAAAGTCTGTTAAACAACAAATAAACAATATCAATGTAAGCTAATGTACAAATCGTAAAACCTTTCCACGAATTTTTACAAGATTAAAGTAAAGAAAAAACAAAAACAGATTGACTGGAGAGACGGTGGTTCACAGGCATTTGGAGTCTTACTAAGGGTGCTTTCCAGTTGTCAGAACTTGCTGGCGAGACCATTCCAGTCGTGAGGAGATTGTCACTATTAATCAGGACTGTTCCGCCAGATCAGTCTATTCTGAAATGGTGTGCAGGGCAGTGATGGGTTTTAGTAAAATTTTTGAGAAAAGGCTAATGTTTCATTTTGAAAATGACCGGTCTGACCGGCCAGTTCTGACTTTTAAAAAGCGCCCTAAGGCCCAGGCCAAACGTCTAACTTTTTATGAGACGAACCAAATTAAGTGAGTTAGGTTCATGAGCAGTTCGACGTCTGGCTCAGTTAAATTCGCCTGAATGTGTTTGGATCTTTTATCCGCCTGAACGTCTCAGGCTCGTCCACGGGACAAACGTCGATCTTCACATGCCACAAACTAAACCACTAAATTTAAAAATTGTACGATGATGTATATTTAGCCTTTTTCGTGAGAAAAAATATTACTGATCTGATTCAATTGATTGGTTCGACGCGTCCTAAGTTCGACGTCTGACCCAGCAGACGATCTTAACTTAATTTAGGTCGACCCAAATTACAGTTTGGTTCGTCTCATGAAAAGTTCGACGTTTGGCCTAGACCTAAGATTCCAATCCCAAAGTAAGTCAACTTTTAGCACCAGCATAATAATACCTTATTTCCTGTCGATTGTAAATACATTTGAAAGTAGTTTCCGGTCTGTCTCTCGTAGATCAGACCCTGGATTAGAGAATCCAACGAGACGTCAGGTTTGTACCCAGTCTCTTTCTGAACGACAGCTGAAGCGGAACTTGGTGGCAGCAAAGTTGTGCGATGAAGCGTTCTAAAAGAAAACAAAAAACAGGGGACGATAACTGTGCAACACCTCGTACTTAAATTTTCATCAACTTCACAGGCTGTATTGAACTCGAGGAAATCATTGCCGAACAAAAAGGAGTTGAGTATGGCTGGGATTTGCTCCCACTTAAAATGACGAATACAATAACTCCTGCCATGGAGATTACTAGACTACGAAAAACAGATCAGCAACCGGATCCTGATATCGATCAGGGGGCGGATGGAGAAACTAGTGGCGATATTGCACAAACGCATCTGTAATTCCACCGCCGTCAAATGTATAAGGCGTTTTCTTGGAATTTCATTCATAGTGGAAACATGGCCAAGGATGTTTAAAATAGTTACTTAATTAAACTATTGAGTCATTTTTCTCAAAATATAAACAAGCCTCTTTTCGCTGAAAACGCTTCGCGCGCGAGTAAAATTATGCCGGGAAATGGTGCCTGTTTTAATTTTGAAACACCAAGACCTTTTTTCGTAAACTTGCAGAACATCTATGGTAAATTAACAACGTATTGGTAATATTGTAAGCTTCTAAAAGTAAAAGAAGCAACCTTAGCTTTTAAAGTACTTCGCTTAGCTTTGGCAAATTTCTCTCGATTGCCGCGGTAAAGTCTCTAGGACTTTCCATTTAGAAACTCTGAGAGGTGTTCTACCCCTCTAATTTTCCAAAGGAAATACCCACGAAATTGGTTGTTGTAGGTGTTACTCAATCAGGCGCTCTCTCAGTCGCACACACGAATTTTCTATTTTCCATTCCTTTGGAACGTTACTGTTCATTCACTCACCTCATCATTCGCTGAATCTTACTATCAGGGGAGGGGATAGGATTGATAAATAGCCTGACAGAGGGTAGGTAGTCTGGCTCAGGTTCGACTGGGAAGGTAGGACCAGGAGGCTGCTCAAATCCATAACCAGTCTTCCAGGGTTCAAGGATGTACTAATAAATAACGAATAAATAAATAAACAAAAAAACATACAAATAAATATACAAATAAATAAATAATAGAAAAATGATTCATCAAAGAAATGGGGTTCGCTGTTTGACAGACATTTTTTTTAAAAAGTTAAACAATAAAAAAAGAATTTGGAAATGAATTAGGCCATGCTGTTCAATTTGACAAAAAATGTAGAATTTTAAAAATAAAAGTTCCAGAAAGTCGAAATTATGCAAGTTTCAATCTTCCCCAAGTTTGTCCATCCGTGCCGACTTTTGTTTTCGCTGTGTTATTAATACCTTCTTTTAAAGTTTCGAGCGATTATTTTTTATGTTCACTCGATTTTGGTGGCAAATTCTTATTGTTAGAATTTTGGAATCATTATCCGTTACTGGGGAAACTATTCATCTACCCCTCCCCTAAGCCAACATTTTGCCCTTAGTGAGAAGTAATTGTTAATGTTAGCCTAGAGGAGGGGTAGGTGGACAGTTTCCCAGAAACGTCTAGTGATCCTTTTTGGTGACACTGCTCCTTTAATAAACAGATCGTTTTGTAAAAGACCATAACACAGTAATATAAAGTGAAGATCATGACAAAACACTCAAGTAATAGCCCTGTCGTATTTGTCACACACAAACGTTTTGCCGTCCTCTTCTTTATTCCGTCATGTTGCGTAAGCTCATTATCAACAAAATGAACGAGACAATCATGACAGAGCTCCTTTACTACTTACCTGCAACTGCTTTGTACTGGCGTTGGTATGGATGCATTTATTGGCTTGCAGAAGCCTAGGATGCGCGGACTTGGCTCGCAATTGAGGCCTGGAAGTCTGGTGCTGGGTAGTTTTCTTGACGGTACTGCTCTGGGGCCTGGTAATTAGCTTGTCCGAGTGCACCTGGGCTAGGCCAGTATGAGCAGGAACTTGAGGCAGGTTTGAAAGGGCGCTTTCGCGTTTCATGCAAGATTTGGGTCTTTCTTTAGCAAGTCTTGTGTATTCCAGGTCGCGGGAAACAGAACGACGTTGTTGGTGCATAGTAAATCGAATGCTCCTGTAAGCAGGTAAATTGTATTAAGAAATAATTCAGGAAGTACACAATCACAACCACTCCATTTCCTGCACTTCACCAATGAATAAAATAAACAAAAAATAACAAAATAACAAAATAAAAATAAACTTACCAATAACTTAACAAAGGCTCAAGAACATCAGGCTGAACAGCAAACAAACTGTTGAAGGTTAACAGTGACGCGTCTAACATTTTTAATCTTGTTTTAGTTGCAGCAGAGAACTCGTAAATCCCTCCACTTTTCCAATACCTGTCGCGTATATTCTGCACCAGCCTAAAAAATAAAGACAAGAACCACTGTTTTATCAACTTCATATTGTAACATTAGTGTTACTTGCGTTGAAGTATGACTGCCGTAATGATAACTTAAGGATTTGCAAATAAAGTATGCCAGTATTGTGGAAAAATACATGGTTTTTAAATACATACTAGATAAAGGTCTTAGTGTCGATTCATTGAAAACCTTATTGTCCTCATCTGTAAGATTTTCGTGAACTTAAGTCATTTTCTACCGAATCGCGAAAACTACTCGTTTTTACGAAATAAAAGAAACAGACTGCGTAGCAAGCGTTTCCACGCAAGCTCGTCGAGCAAGTTGGGACGAGGGTAAAAAGAGAATAATATTTTGCTTTCGCTCCAACTTTCGCCCAATAATTCGTTTGGAAACGCTCGAAACGTAGGCTATAAAAGAAACATAAGGGATATTATGTGACACTGAGAAGTGCGCGAGACTCGCGTTTTGCTTAAAACTATCTTGCCTACCATCTCGTGGTTTTAGCTCAAACATTTCTTGCGATTTTTTTTAAATGTTTAACTGCAGCTTTAAAGGTTGATAAAGTAGAAATTTTGAAAGTGTTTTTTGAAGGCGGCGCGACTGCACCCACCTGTTCTTTTGGCCATCATCGTCCAAATGTCTTCCACACTCAACTTCTAACCAGAACTGCAACATTTTTTCACCGCTTGTATCCAAAAGAAACTGTTTAAAAGCTTCCAAACCATCCTTTGTTGCTAAATCATAAGGTTTTTCCTCAGCATCGAATCCGTCTTCACTGAAAGCGGATTCATCGTCGATATCCAACCCTATCGACGTGGCCGCTGTGCTGCAGCGTGTTAGCCGTCGACGGCCCAAAACGCCACGGATTCCTTGCAGAGTTGTGGCGCTTGCTTCCGTTGTGTACCCTCCTTCATCATCCTCGTCGTTGCCTTCATTTTTACTTTCAGATTCGTCCTGAGAATCGTTTTCGTCTTCCGGTGCGTCCTGTGGCTCAGTAACTGACTGGGATTCCTGTGATTCACAATGTTCGGAGGAAATCGGGGGCTTAGTTGAGTCAGATTTATTGGCTACATTTTCTTCGCTTTTTTCTTCTACTAGAGACTTGCTTCCTTGCGCCCCGGGTTCAGATATACCATCCAATTCCGTTGGTATATCTTGGTGAGCCAAACTCTCATTTTCCGAGTCCTTCTGCTCTGTGCAATGATCAGCTAACATCGTTGACGTTTCAGAACTTGGGTCTAACAGCTTGGACGGCGCTGAATCATCAACATCGTTTAAACTGTCATGGAAACCGTCAATCAGAATTGCATCTTTACCTTCAGAAATGCTCCGGCAATGAAGACAATCCTCTTTGCTTAAATCACCAAGCACCTCATTTTCCTGTTTCTCCTTATCTTTATCTTTTCCTTCAGCTACACTACTCACCGATGACTCCTCCATGTCTTCATTTGCTTGGGACAATTCTTCACTCGCTACCTCTCTAACCGACTCGCTGTTTTCTTCATTGACTGAATCCACAGAGGTCCCAGTGATAGTAAGCTCTCCCTCCTCGTAATCACTGCACATAGTCTCTACTATACTTGGTATCTTTCCACCATCGGACGTTTGTGTTGTAACTTCATCTTTGTCATCACCAACAGGGGAAAAATTGTCTTCACCAACTTCAATATTCAGCGTACTTGCATTCTTTTCAGACTCTACGGTCGATAGATCATCTTTTCCTATGGCAACAACACTTTCTGACATACGTATGTTTTCACCTCCTACCGCCACGGCACCAGGCGCGTTCGCATTTTGTTCCTCGGTGCTTAATACAACATCTACGTCTCTCTCATTTGGAGGACTGGAAGCATTGCGTTCTACACCGTCTTTTGATGACACTTCGTACCACACTGTTTCACCATCCACGTTCTCCAAAGTTGATGAACTCCTTGAAACTTGGCCATGCTCCGTAATAAAACTCACCACAGAAGACAGACTCCGCGTCATTTCGTCTGCCCCAAAGGACTTCGCATCGTTTTCATTCCCTACATTTAACTCTTCTTGGACTACGCTATTCTGACTGGCCGTTTCCATCGCTAATGAGACACCACTGGCGGACGCGGAGCTTTCCCTAGATATATCATTCGCATTTAAAGTCCTCTCGAGATCATCACTTAGAAAGCTCATCCGTGAGACGGGTCTAAAATTGTTCCCAACCGAAACTTCACTTTCCTGAACACTTGACATACTGTAGCTTGACTGAGTCTCCAGGGCGTCCTCTTCGTTCATAAATTTCGGGGTGACTTCCCCTTCTTCTTCTTCTTCTTCTTCTTCTTCTTCTTCCAAGATTTGGGGTGTTCTTGGGTATGGCGAGCCAGCACCAGAACTGAACATACTGATACGGCTGTCTGAACGTGTAAATGATTCATGCCAAGCATCAAACGTTTCTTCAATAGTTCGAACGTGAGTTGGTAAGTAAAGGTGTTCTTCGCTGTCCCTGTCATTTTCCTCTTCAGAGGATTGTTCATCTCCACCTAATGAAGGACTCAAATTAAAACTGACGACGCTTCGCCTCCGAGTCAAAGGACGAACAACTGTTAGTTCCTCAACACCACTGTCTTCATCTGAGCTTTCGGAGTAAAGACCACGGAAAAAAGACTCCTTAAATAAAAGACAGAAAGAGTGGTCTTATACGTATATACTTCACTCTTGAGTCATGTTATATTTTGAGGTGGGGGAGATAACAAGCATACTCCGAGGCCCAGTCCACAACTATCCGTTTTTCCTTGAAAGCGGAGACTTTTTTCTCCATTTTTAAATGAAAAAAGCGCATCCACAAGTTGCCGGTTTTTAATTCTTTTTTGTTCATCCACTCGAAAACGCAATAGTTACTGAAAGCGGTACCATCTTTGATCATGTTTATGGGATCTTGCGCATTTACTAATCTCGTGCGCCGGATAGACTGGATCCAACACCGTGAATTTATCGTTTTCACCATCCACAGGAATACAGGAAAAACGACGTTTTCAAAAATCTCCACTCTGGAGAGCGGTTTTAAAAAGATACAGCCGACTCCCGATAACTCAAACCTTCAAGGGAAATCGAAAAAAGTTCCAGTTATCGGGACCTCGAGGAAAATACCCGGAAGGAAGGGGAAAACCAGTTTTTAATGAACATTTTAATCACATTTAATTTTAGAAATGTTATGTGAAAATTGAAATTTACTTCTTGATTATAAATCAGAACGTAGCAAACAACATGACCTAAAAAGAGCATGCGCTTTACTGCTTTAAGTAGTAAAGCTGTTTCACGTTATATTTGTGACAAACAACATCAGCCTTCACTAGTAAACTATATGCCTACTACACATCAATGGCAAATTCAAAATTATGTTTCGGAGGTGGGAAGGATGCGGCTGGCCACGTAGGCTAACGAGGATTAAGTCTTTTTTTATGCCCGCTCAACACTTTCTGTGTGATGTTGATATTTATTTAATAAGTATTTGAGGTTTCTTGCTGACCAATAACCCCTGGAAGAACAGGGCCGAGTTGTTCAAAGCTGGCTTAAGATGACCCAGAGTTAGTGCGAGATTTGAATCCAGATTTTAAAGCTTAAAAAACATGTCAGTTTTAATTCTTTTTGTCTCCAAGTTGATGATTGGAAGCTCTAAAAATAACAGAGAGAATTATCCCAGAAAATGCTTTTGAACACAAGAAAAAGAAACCCGGGTTAAGCGTTAATCGGCCTTCGAACAACTCGGCCCTGCTCAATTTAAATACATCTTAAACTTTAATCTACAAATGCTATCTTATGCATTTGAAAGGATATTTTACAATTTAATCTACTAACCTGGACGGCGGACAAGTGTTTGGAAAGTTTAAATTCAGCATACAGCTCGCTTCTCATAAATAAGGGTAGTCTGTGTTTCTTCACAAATTCCAGCCCATGAACTTTATCAAGAACTGTTACATAGTAACCAATACGAGATTGATTGTCAGCAACATTGTATATGGTTCCCTTGAAGTGTGTAAACTGACGCAACTGTGATGCGCTTTTAGCGTCTCCTTTACCCACGTCATCTGCTAATTTTTCAATGAATTCTTCAAAAACTTCAAGCTCACTGTTATAGAAGAGCCGTTCTGCAAAGCACTGAAAACACATTTACAGTTAATTTTTTGCTGGATGAACATACTAGGGATGAGAGAAAAATAATAATTATTATCTGAAATAAAAAAGCTAAGTGGTGATGAAAAAAAAAAACAGGACAGGAAAGAGGACCTAAGATGGAATGAGAATGGGGAAAAAAGCCAATCTGAATTATTTTTTTAATCATTTTTTTTTAAAAATATGTTCTAATGAGGCATTAAACTGCTGTTTTTAAAAAAAGATATGAAAATTAAATCAGAGCTTTTGCCAATCAACGGCATCATCATCATCATGCCGTTGATCGGCAAAAACTCGGATTTCATTTCAGTTGATTATTTTTTTAAAAAAAACATCAGTTTAAGGCCTCATTAGAACGATAACTTTATTTCAATCACGCTACTGAAGGTCAACATGAATAGATTCCATCTGTTTTTCGTTTTGAACAGTGTGGGGTACAATAACCCTGTTTTTATTTTCATGTACAAATTTCCGATTGAGCCACTGGTGGAGCCAGGGAAAGAGCAAAAGACCAGAGCTCAGTTATATATAACTTTTACAAGTGAAATTTATCGGTACAGCTACTGTATTCAGACTCTAAAACAATGGCGACACTTATTAATTGCACTTCTCTTTTAAAAAGTTGTATTAAACTGACCCCAGCTAACAAAAAGATCTCTGAAAAAGAGGTACAGGTATGCCCAAACTGTCTAATTTAGTAAAATTGTTGAGAATGAAGAGTCAGTGTTACAACAAGGTTGAAGCAACACTATGTGGTTTAGACCATAAATATAATATTAATCCTGGTCATGTTTGAATGTACCATGGCCATCTGCCGAGCTAAGAAAAAATGCCTCATTGCCTCCAAAGAAGGACAACCATGCATCTGAGTAACAATGGTGGTAAACTTAAGATACTTGAATGACTCAGACACAAGTTTATATGATAGGAAATTACTGTGAGAAAAACTTACAGGTAATGCTAAGAAAGCATTAAAAAACTCTACAAATCCTTCATCATCTGACAGAAACGTTTCCTGAAAAGCAATGAGTTTATGTTAGTATAAACGTGGAAATTGCTTGCAAATAAAGAACCTGAGGTGTAGACAGATGTAGTTGCTTTCATGCACTGTAATATACAGTTTCACTGATGGAGATGTTTCATTTCTATATGTATATAACATAATTGCAATGGTATGAATAAATGAGTTGCAATGAAATAACTAACAAAACAATATTGTTAGGTACTTTGTCACCCATTTATGCAACTAAAAGGCATAGTGCAGGGCTGTCACTTCAGACTTCAAGTTGGCAGATGTATGAAATTAGCAGGTGGGAAACTGACAGGTTAAAAAGTTCTTCTCCAATAATTGGAGACGAACTTTCTACATTTAATGGAAGGAATGCACATTATTAATCTTGTTTACACAAGTGAGTTTATGCTGGTTTTCATGCAACTATTAATTAAATCATGTTTTTAAATTTATTACTTTTTCATATAATAATTATCATGCCTTGACTCTCCCCAAATTTTCTGGGAGTTTCCTAAATACAACATCAATCTGGCTCTCCCATACCAAACCTCTCTCGAATAAGATTCAGACTTTTTAGTTGTGCTTAAGTTTGGAATTAAGCCCATTTTCCATTTTTTCCAAAAGTTCTGACTGTTTTTGACTCACAATAAGGTTTCTGGGGCATTTCTGTACCTATTTTATCACTGACTATTAAAGATTACTATTGGTCATATCATTGTGATTTTAAAGCAAAATAATGTTTATGCTTTGTACATGTGAGGACTTCATGTGATTTCCTAAGCCATTCCTAGCTATAATGGGTTATTCCAGAAAAAATCCACACCCCCATGCCACGGAAGGCATGCTGGAAAATCTTGCGGGAGGGGGGGTAAACAGCTCTGGAAATTCAGCAGGAGGGTGGCTCTGAACCTAAAAATACATTGTGCATTTTGGGTTTCCAGACAACACGGCCACTGTACGTTGGTGGATTGCCTGGTGAATCACAAAGTATTTGTGAGGCAAATAACAGCAGGCTGCGAAAAAAACAGTGCCCAATTGGACAATGGCTAGAAACCTTGCCGTGAAAGATTAAACATGGAAAGAACCAGGACCTGAACTTCAGGGAGAACAGTAAAGAAGACCACAGTGGGTTCATCGACGACCTATATAAAGCCCGAGAGTGAATAAACACAGAAATAAATATACAAAATGGTTTGAAATACTCGTTTAAGTTACTGTTCCTCAAATGTATCTTTCAATTCATGATAAATACATTAAGAATTAAACTGTTCAGTGGTTGCATGGCCCAGTGGTATGAGGTCGCACTTTTTGCACTGGAGGAATTTGGGGTGCAGGTTCAAATACTGGTGGGGCTACTTCCAGTTTCGTTTTTTTTTGGAATTTTCTGAGCAAATTTTGCTAGAAACTGATTGGTTTTGTGTTTATCTGACCAGTGTTTTCATCATTTTTTTAAACAGAGATATTTTGATTTGCTCTTTCAACAACAATATGCTTGAGAAATTAGCCAATGATAAAGCTTTTAACATCATGGCTAGTGCCCAGTTATTCACAACATAATCTACACCTGGTAGTTTTAGGGCCCTGTTTGCTCATTTCAGTAACAAAGTTTCAAGATATAATTGCAAGTTTACGATGACTAAACAGCCCCAATAGCAGCACTTTAGTAAGAGGTAAAAGTCATGTGTTGCCTTATACCAACCCCCTCTCTACATGCACGAGACTACATTCCAATGTATCCAAGTGGCATATAGTGATCTTGCTGACAGAGGAATCAGCAATTACTAGAAAAGAGGGTGGAATAGCAGCCTCAAAGGTTGTCTACAGGCTCATCTCTGCAAAATTGCTACCACACAGTGTGTGCATGGGTTTTGCCACAATTAAAGCCAATTTTGACTCCACCTGAACACGCTTAAAAAACACACAAAAAAATGCACCTTATAAGGACTATTAAGAAAATATACGATCAAAGCATTAAGCTTACATCAAGGTAATTAACATGGAATCCTTCACGAAATTGAGTAATTTAAATTGCCAGTGGACAAAAATCTTGTACCAGAATCATTTAAAGAATATTGTATTCCTTTTTACATTTTTCAAGGCCTAAAGATTTAATTAAATCATCCGTGATAACACCAAAGAAAATTTCTCATGGAAGTCCGAGAAAATGAATGTCAAATTTCACAAGAATTGGGATTATACAGGTAAAATTCTAAAAATTTCGTGTGTAAGATGTAATTTTGTGAAATTTGACATCAGTTTTCTCGAGCTCCCATAAGAATTTTAGTTTGGTGTTACTACACTACTAAATAATGTAGAAATCGGGAACTTTTACGTTCTTTCTTACGTTATACGAAAATTAATAAGACCATGTTCTAAAAACAGGTGACTTTTAGTTTTAATGAGTCACAGGACCACGTAATGTACAAATAACCTTTCAGAGTAAACTAATAAACCACTGCGGGCAGCAAACAGGTAGCAAAGTCAGACAGTGTTAAAATGAGTAAAATCTATCACGTCATTGCAAGGCAGCATTGAGGAAATGAAACTGCTGCACATTGCCACTTAGAAAGACAGGCGCTTCCTCTGTGTTTTATCTATCAGACCTTTTTCAAAACGTGTCTTAAATACACTTCTGTGTTAAGGTATTACATACAAGGGGATTTCCCATCAAATTGTCGTTGTCAATGCAATAACTCAACTGACTCTACGTTTTTCCTTGAAGAAATCAAGGCTATGTTCTCCAATGCAATTTATGCATTTTATAAACATGTTCCTAAGCTTACATGTATAAAGTTTACTTACAAAGTTGTCATCTGTAATTTCAATCGTTTCACCGCTAGAGGAAGTCGTGGACATCCTAGTTATTCGAGAGAGGTCTTAAAATTCTTCTGGAATCTCGCAACCTTTTCCTTGGAATTAAGTTTGACATCCACCAAAATAGCATCTCGATTTTAGCCTCGATCGCCATTTTACTGCCATCATCAAAACGAGAAATTTAGCCCGCCATCCGTGCCTTTCGATAATAATAGAATTTTTAGTTCTTATTTTAAAAAATCTTGACGTAAATACGCCGCATAAGGAAGAAAAAATATCATTTTGCCTCGATAACTTGCCCAAGGAGTCAAGAATAGAGCCATTTTGTGGCCTTCAAGAAGTCGAACACCAATGAACCAATCAACACACGCGTTTTTGGCGATCTTGTATTTGTGAAGTTGTCATGGAAATTTGCAGCGGCGGACCGGCCGATTATGCTTAAACGCTTTATTTGAGAGTCAGTATATTTACATCCCACACTGCAAGCAGGTTTCTTGGAGCTCGACAAGTTTCGTACTCCAGCTGTAGAGATTGCCAGCAAAAGTAGCAAAGGCAGCAAGTTCTCTAAACTCAAGGGAGTGGGGAGGGGAAAGATCCTTTCCCTCCCCTCCCTCCCTCCTTTTTACCCGCTGACCGGAAAGCCCGGGTGTTCGCTTACTTCTTCGATCGACGGTCGGTGGTTGAGTTTAGAGTCAGTCTTTATTCGATCTTAAAGGTAAGAATAGCTTTTTGTACTACATTATTTACACATCTTAGAGTGATTCGAACTCGCCTAGTCTATTTTTTATGGCTTTGTGCTTCCAAACTTGGATTTTGCGGACACCTTTATTCAAACCTTCATTCAAAAGTCGCAAGTCCTGCAATGGAGTTGTCATCACGCAAGGCGTCCAGTGAATCCACTGGTAACATCTTTTGCACAGGGATCAGAGGAGTTGTTTGTGACCTTGATTGCAGTTTTTTAATTTTACAGTTGATACAGGACACGATGGCCAAATGGTTGATTAGGGCCTTTCCGCATTAGTACACAAAACGGGAATTGTCTCGGACAATTGTATGTGTGCTAATGCGGAGCCTTTATTTAGTTTACATACCTTTACTAGTAAAGAACTTTGAGAATCTGACACGTTCAGTGGACATCGCCCGCGTATTACCACGAACTCCATACTATCTGTCAACAACACCCATGATGAAATTGTGTGCTTCCGTTTTTTTTAACGAATACAAATGAGAAAGAAGGGTGAAACGAAACTAGATGAACTTCCATAGATTTATACAACATAGAAGTGTTTTTTACAACTTGTAGGAGCATGGAATGACAGCTTTCTTTCAAAACTCTCTAAAATTTGAGAAACATTTCCGACAAAGTAGCCAGCACAAACTAGTCCAACAACTGGCAGATTTCCGCCGGCTGCCAGCTTGTAATGACAACCTTGTGTCTTTGAAACATTTAAACCTAAAACTTTTATGGTGATAATATTTGTCTTGAAAGAATTATTTATCCTCACTGGAACACTCTTAACAGACTGTTACATCTGAGTACACTTGCATTTTGTTTATGGAAAGGTTAATGGCTTTACAACAAATAATCAAGCATCAAGCATGATCGACAAAAAAACAGTTTTCTTTATGACTCAATCAATTCCAAGGGCATTTGCAGGGTTTGCAAATTTTATTGATGAGTGGAGTCACTGTGACTTCTGCTTCACAAATTTTGGAGTCATTTTGGAATATTTGGAGTCAAGTCTAACAACGAAAAAAGCCATTTTCAGGCTTTCCAGCATGTGGTCCTGGCATGTATAACCTATCTTGAGGGATACACAAAGTAGCTGTGGCAGTCCGCTGACCTGGAAAGCTAAAATCCATGACTTTGATCGTAATTTACCCTCTTCCTGTTTTGTCGTGTAGTATAATTCTTTAATTTTGATGAGTTAATTAAGGTTTACAACGTTTACAAATTAACGTAATTGTATTTGTTTCGAAAAAGGTAAGGACAAAACTGTGTTTGTTACCAAAAATTTCTGGAGTCGAAGTGGCTCCCTGTTTGTTACCGAAAATTTCTGGAGTCAAAGTGACTCCCTCCGTAACCTCTGTGGAGTCATCTGAACAATTTTGGCGTGAAATATGCCAAATTTGGCGTATTTGCGAACCCTCGTCAGGCATTTGTCATTTTTTTAATTATTTTGGAATAGCTACAAATGCCCCATGGTGGAGTTAAAAAAAGGGTGCAAATGCCCCACCCCCGGACAACAGGAAAGTTGCATTTTCCAATAAATAGGCTGCAAATGCCATATTTATTAGAAATCTGTAATAATCTGATCAAAAGACATGAAGCACCCTATGCAAATTGCTGCTAGCCACTAGCTATACATGTAATTATTGTAAAAAGGATCACGTTTATCTGAATAATACCAGACAGAAGTATAAACTAGAATTTTGATAATAGCTTTCTTATTTTCTAAGAAATTTAATATAGTGAATGATAAACAAACAACCGACGTGCTTAACATGACAGGGCTTCTGATATTTCGCATGGTTGCGGAGCTGCGAAATTCAGGGAAATCTGCGAAATCCCACGAAATTCACAAAAACACGCAAAATACCGTGAAATTCGGTGAAAATCTTGTCAAATACATGTCTGTACAGCATTTTTGATACTTGTCTCAGCTATTGGGGCTATTTACTTGCTGTGAACTTGTAAATTTATCTTGAAACTAAGTCACTGGAATGTGCAAACAACATCCCGAAACTGCCAGGTGTAGATTATGTTGCCAAAAACTGGGCACTAGCCATGATGTTAAAGGCTTTGCCATTGGTTCATTTCCGGAGCATATTGTTGTTGAAAGAGCAAATGATGACCTCTGTTAGAAACACATTAAAAAGGCTGGTCTAATCAGTGTAAAACCAATCAATTTCAGGGTTAAGGAATCCGATTTATTGAAGAAATCATAGTCCTTGAAAACTGTAAGTTGTCCTTGAAAAGTCCTTGAAAATTCCTTGTCTGAAGTTGTACGAACCATGGCAGAGGTTTTATGACAAATTCCCCACTGCCAGGACCAACAAATGCTGGGGGGTGGACCTTTGAGACTGGCACAATTCACACACACACCTTTTTGTTTAATAACGCAGAGATTTTTCCATTTTCACTGTATCATATAGGTACTCATGATCTCTGCACATGGAACTGAAAAAGTGTTCTCCATGCAGATTGATATTCTACCGCTTGTTAATTCATGGAAGTCAATTCTGCATCTGAACTGGGCATTAGAAAGCCAGGGTTCACAAAAATGCCACATTTTGCGTATTTTACGCCAAAATGTTTAAGATGACGCCAGTGAGTTTATGAAGGGAGTCACTTTGACTCCAGAAATTTTCAAAATAATTGCAAAATAGTTTTTTTTGTACCTTTTCCAAAACAAATTCAATTTACATTAACTGAAAGCGCTGTAAACTTGATTTCAAACACTTAAATTGAAGAATTTTTCATGTGTGTACAAGTACTGTAGAAGCAAAATTACTGTAAAGATCACACAAATGATGATCATCAAGGTTATTTGAGCCTTTCAAGGTCAGCAGATTCCAACATGAGGCCCGTGGCTACTTCATGTTTCCGTCATGATAGCTCATACGTGCCAAAACCACACTCTGTGAAATGGCATCTTCATCAAAAGGAGAGTGACTTAAGAAGGTTATCCAAAGCTGTCTAGAATTTTTTACTGTTATTTTAACTCGTGTTTAGGGAATAATACATTGCTTTTTTGTTGTGTTATGTGACTCCAAATGCTCCAAAGTGAATACAAAATTTGTGAAGCAGAAGTCACACTGACTTCACCCACCAATAAAATTTGAAAATCCTGGAAAGTGGAGAAATCTAACAAATGCTGCTAAAACTAAAGATTGTTACAGCACTAAAAAAAATCTTATTGACTGAATGTTAAACTGACAGTATTTTTTAAAATAGGCCCTTTGCAGCTTGTGGTTATTTGTCCCACACATGTATAGTTTGTCCAAATTATGGGATACAACCTTAAGAATAGCATATCTCATTTGTGTTATGTGAGAATGTTTTGTGAGGGTAATTTTTAAACAGTTAAAAACTTGCTATAGTTTTGTACAAGTGTTGTCACATTTCATGAATTATTATTTTGTCCTGCTATAGTCCCATCACCTTGAAGGATTTTTAACAAATGCTGTGACAATGTTGTGAACGTTTTCCTTGGGCTTAATCCTTTAAATAATAATTTTTTCTCATGGTTATCACTCTAGATCTGTACTCCATGTCCATACTGAGCCAACAGTGTGATCTAAAAGGAAATGAGGCAGTTAATGCTGGAAATAACTGTAATCAGTGTAAACAATGTGGTAAGTGTTTTAGCCGAGCAGGAGACCTAAGGAGACATGAAATAGTCCACACTGGGGAAAAGCCTTTTGAATGTAAACATTGTGACAAGTGTTTTAGTAGAAAAGCAGATCTAAAGACTCATGAAAGGGTTCACACTGGGGAAAAGCCTCACAGTTGTAAATATTGTGGGAAGTGTTTTAGAAGAACAGTAGATCTAAGGACTCATGAAAGAGTTCACACTGGGGAAAGGCCTTATGAATGTAAACACTGTGGCAAGCGTTTTAGTCGCACAGGAACTCTGAGGTGTCATGAAAGAGTCCACACTGGGGAAAAGCCTTTCCAATGTGAACAGTGTGGCAAGTGTTTTAGTGAAAAATATAGACTTAGGACACATGAAAGAGTTCACACTGGCGAAAAGCCTTATGAATGTAAACATTGTGGCAAGTCTTTTAGCCGAGGGGCAGATCTAAGGCATCATGACAGAGTCCACACTGGGGAAAAGCCTCATCAATGTAAGCAGTGTGAAAAGTGTTTTAGCCGAGCAGAAAGCCTAAGGACACATGAAAGAGTGCACACTGGAGAAATCTTAAAGCCATATGAATGTAAAGAGTGTGGTAAGTGTTTTATGCAGGTGAAATCTTTAAGGAAGCATGAAAGAATCCACACCGAAGAAACCCGTTCAGAGTGTAAACAGTGTGGCAAGTGTTTTAGCTCAGCAGGAGATCTAAGGAAACATGCAATAGTCCACACTGAGGAAAAGCCTTTTGATTGTAAGCAGTGTGGGAAATGTTTCAGACGAAGTAAAGACCTAAAGAAACATGAAACAGTCCATACTGAAGAAAAGCCTTTTGATTGTAAGCAGTGTGGGAAATGTTTCAGACGAAGCAGGGACCTAAAGAAACATGAAAAAGTCCATACTGGGGTCAAGCAGGATGAATGTAAAACTTGTGGAAAGTTTTTTAACTCAAGAGGAAACCTGAGGAGACATGAGCGACTCCACACTGGAGAGAAG